CCAACCAAAAATAAAATAAATAAAAAATAAACACCCCCCACCCAACACACACACAAAAAGTATCAGGAATCTCCTTCCATCTCTGTGTTGCCTATCCTTGCCTCCTTTCTCGTTGTTCCACCACCTCCCTCCAACTCTTCCCTTTTGCAAATTGAAATGACAATAACTCTAATTACGGAGATCATAATGTATTTGTTGCGTTCCTATTCAATTGATAAATGTCAATTTCTGATATTTTTTTTTCAATGGTCTTTTATCAATGTTATCAATTATGGTGTATTTCACTGTCGTCTTTTAAGGAGTACATTTAATTGCACATGCTTGCCAACAGGATCAAATGGATTGGGTTCAGGTGACCCGATTATTAGTGGGTCGGGTTAGTGTAGGAAACCTGACCTAATTAATAAGTGCAGGTCAGCCATTTATGTATCAGATCAATGTTGAGCTGACAAGACCCTATTGGCACCCCTAGTAATTTCTGACTTAATAATCTAATTCATATGATATGATAATGTGCAGAAAACTTGATTGCTATCCTTCAGCATAAGATGAGAAAGATATGGCAAGGCCTGCTCCACATGAAATACAAAATGATGAATGCCTCCTACCCTTTATCCAGTGGGTAGCCATATCTTCGTTAACTAGAGAAAGGTAAGTATGTCTCCCAAAACAAGACACAGGTAAATGCATGACAGTCCCCACAATATAGCTTGAAATCCAACAAGACTCACCTGCAAAATGAAAATTGATTTGCGAGAAAATTCACTTAATCTGTGTTGCATTGACAATTTGACGTGTTTTAACACAGTTTGAAAGGTAGGTTAGGAAAAACGCGGCTCCTCTCTATTATTTATTTTTCAAATTAGTTGATTTATATGAAAATTATTACCATTTTTTCTAATTACATACAAGCACAAGTTTTTGTAGATTCTATCAACCAAAAAGAAACCAGTAACTAAAAGGAATAACTGACCTACTGCGATATATACAAAATATTATTTACAATATCTAAATATCATAATCCAAGAAAGTATAATTAAATAGATTATCATGGAAACTGTTGAACAATGATAAATTAAGTCAAAGTAACAAACACTTTAACCAACCTTACTCGAGGAACTCCGAGATAGTTGAAACTGATCCTTCCAAAGACGAGATGATACCGGAACAACAGAAAATCCAGACGAAACTAGAATTCCTATCCACAATCCATAAGTAAATCCTCCACTCCACCAACCCTACAATACAACAGAAAGAAAATCGCATGAACAGACAATTGCAGTGGGAAGAGAACAACCATGAATAAATATGATAATGCTCGTGAATAAATTGCAAGATGTTTCCCTACCACCATAAGCAGATAAACTGCAATTTGCAACTATTACACAGGGTGTAATTTGCTAATCTGGTTCAGTTATAGAGAGGAACTACGACTATAGCATGTAGACACCGACCATAAACCAACCCAAGGCCGACCATAAACCAACCCACATGTGTTAGTAATGTAATGCAGGTGCCACCACCAAACATGTAGAGACATATAACTACAACGGCAAAGCTATATTGCTTTCATACCCATGTTTTTTAAATAAACCAAGAAAAACAAAATACAAACATTTTACCCTCAATTTGAAGTGGCTTCAACAAAATAAAGCCAAGAAAAGAAAACAAAAAAAAGTAAGAGATATGCAGTTATTATCCATTTTTTAGTGTTTTGTCCGCTACTATTGTTAAAAGTAGTTGTATGTGATGTATTTTATATAAAATTTTAAGATTCATGACAATAGAAAATTATTTAAGTTTTAGATATGGTCCATGAGAGTCATGCATTTAGTTAAAATAGAATTAAAGAACCTTAAAAGTAGTGATAACTGGTAACTGCTATTTTTCATATTACTATTCTATTCTTATTTTCTTAAAAGAGTAAATTGCAGATACCCCTCCATGTATACATTCATACCACTTAACACGCGTCTAACTAGTTTAGTAGCACTTAGCCCCCCTCGATTCATGAGATTCATGAGAGAGAGGAGTGTTATCTGCAACTTCTAAAAATGACAACTAAGGTGCGAAGTTTGTTAAAAAAATTTAATACATTCTTCTCTTTTGCTTTTTCCGCCTCTTTGCAGTGTACTTGACTTGTCCATTTTCGCCATTGCAAACTTGCAGTTCAGCCAAACATAAAACAAAGAGCCGCCAAGTTAGCTATGTTTGATGGATGTTTCATCTAAGGAGATGTACTTGTATATATTTGGGCACTTGATGGATACATGCTGAATATGCATATAGTACATCCAAAAACTTCTAATTGCATCCTAGACATATAAAAGATAGTTTAAAGATGTACACAAGGCGAGAAGTAAACTCAGTAAAGTATCTAATGCATCAATGACATGCTCATAGTCCATTCTATAGATGCATTGATATAACAAGTTCACTTTCCTGACTTTCCTAAAGATGAGGGTGAGCCTTGACACAATGGTAAGATTGTTGTCTTGTGGCACAGGGATCAAGGATTTGAGTCTCAGAGACAGCCTCTTCGCATGCAGGTGTACCCTCTTCAGATCCCACAATAGTGCGAGCCTCGTGCACTGGACAACTCCTTTTTCCTAGAGATGAATTATGATCGCTCTACTAACTATTGATTATTAACTCAGTATGTAGTTATTGTGATGTATTTAACCATATTATGATTTATGGATACATAAATTGACATGCCAAAATTGATTACTGTCTTATAGAAAACACATTTCTATCCAACATTTTCTACATTTGACATATCTCAATGCTCATAGGATGTTGTATCTGGATCTCACATTCATAGTGGCACAACCTAGCCCGCTAAGCTAGAGGCCAATATAGACAGCTCAAAAGACAGGTTCAATATAACTCCTTTGAGCTCTTTTGCATTGCTCAAAAAGACATCTTAATTTTGTTTTTAGTCAGCATATCCATTGATCTATCTGTAGATATGTGCAACAGATAAATGGAGTAGCAAATGCGGTAGACACTTAGCATCACAGAGGATAGAGCAATTAGAAACTGAACTGATGCAGGACGATCGTGGACCCTACATGTGATGCGATTAGGATTTATTAGAATCTTTCCTTTCTTGGTAGGATTTTATTTTATTCTATGTAATTTTCTTTTTAGTTAGGATTTCATTTGGATTTGATTTTGACATCTCTTTTTACTTTAGTTAGGATTTTATTTGATTACATCTTAGACTTTTGTTAGGTTTTGATTTGATTAGGATTTTAATTTGCTTCATTAACTGTTTAGATGCTTTTTTCTATAAATAAGAGATGTCATCCTCCATGAGGAATAGACATTGATGAATAAATAAAATTAAGTTTGAGAAATCTTTCTTGAGCATGTGAGGTGTTCTTAGCATGTGATTTGCCTCTTCGGGTGCAAAGATCTTGAATGTGAGGCTCTTACGTGTGAGACCTAGCTAGTTATCAAAAACTCTCATCTTTACAAATCTCAATGCCCTCCCATCTTGATCCATAACTTGCAATTAGTCCCTCAATGGCTGACCAAAAAATAGCCACAAAACAGACCCAATTCTACTATTTAGGATACCATTCATTCCGTAAACAGTAACCTTACTGTTCAGCCATGAACACTAATGATAGGTACTGTTCATCATGGACATCATTCTGCCAATCAGTCGATAATTTTTCGCCTCCAGATCGAAGCCCTCATGTCATTCCCCATCATTCCACAGTTATCAAGGGTAACATACTACTATCTCCTTCACAATGGTATAATTTTAATCCACTTAAATTTAATATCCTATCTTACTTTTATGGATTTGATGGATATGGGGATCCCAATAAATTCGAAGTCTGGATTTTCAGTACAGAAGATATATTCTCTCTGTGATATGTCAGAACTGAAAATGTATTTATATGCTGAGTGTAGGCTAGAGAGAGGCTAAAAAACGATGGTAAAGAAATTATTATCATTTAACTATCCGTTCATGGAGTCGTATGAAACCTTATTTAGAAAGGAGGTAGTCGTTTCAACCATTTAAAAGATATCGTTCCACTTCAAATCCTAAAGACAAGCCCACACAACTGCCTCAACTCCAGCCATATGTAAAGTCAGACCTTGAGTTCAACCCAAAGCTAGAACTAGAACAAAAATCCACAACTGGAGTCTGAACTAAAGCCAGAAGAACCAAATCAAAAGATTGAGTCAGAGCTCGAGCTTAAGCTGAAGCAAGAAGAAAGTTAAAAGCTTGATCCAGAACTCAAGCCTATATCTAGACGTGAGGTTAAATCAAGTCTAGATCCTAAATCCAATGTTCATGCAGTTCGAGATATTCGATAATAGAGTTTGTCATCCTAGATTCCCCGCTACCTACTTAATATCAAATTATGCAAATACTCCTGAAGATCTTGCAGCTTGTGAAAGTATTTTCTATCAGTAGAAAAAAATCATCATGCTCTCACACTTTAAAACGCGAGATCAAGTTTTCTCAAACAAGGAGAGGTTTGATGAAGGACGATCGTGGACCCTCCTCCATGTGATGCAATTAGGATTTATTAGAATTTTTCCTTTTTAGTAGGATTTTACTTTATTCCATGGAATCTTCTTTCTAGTTAGGATTTCTTTAAGATTTGATTTTTGGATCTTTTTCTATTTCAATTAGGATTTTATTTGATTGTACCTTTTAGTTTTGTTAAGTTTTGATTTGATTAGGATTTTGATTCGCTTCCTTAACTATTTAGATGCTTTCTTTTTCTATAAATAAAAGATGTCATCCTCCATGAGGAATAAACATTGATGAATAAAAATTTGAGTTTGAGAAATCTCTCTTGAGCACGTGAGGTGTTCTTGGCATGTGTTTTGCCTCTTTTGGGGTGTGAAGCCCTTGGATGTGAGACCCCTATGTGTTATCAAAATCTCTCCTCGTTACAAATCCCATTGCCCTCCCCATCTTGATCCATAACTTGCAATCAGTCCCCACGTCTGACCAACAAATAGCCCCAAAAACAGACTCAACCCTACTGCTCGGGATATTGTTCATTATGTAAATAGTAACCATTCTGTTTCACCAGTGAACACTAACAATTATTGTTTGTCATGGATGTCAACATCATTCCGCCAAGCTGTCGGTGATTTCTCGCCTCTAGATAGAAGCCCCGCGCTGCTTCCCGTCATGAACTGCTCTGAGTTTTGAGATAATGCATTATCATCAGGAGGATAGAGCAAGCAAAACTCGACTGCTGAGTTTTGAGATAATGCAGAGAGAATAGCCTTACCATGATGGGCATTTAAGTGTTTACTTGAGGGCCATGTTCTGAAATGATAAGGGAATAGATATGTGGTTGTACTTGTAATGTAACTAAAAATTTTACACTGGTCGAGACTTGAACCAGTAACACTAATATACAAATTTCTTTTCGGAGTTTTTGTTTATATAAGAAAATAATCATTAGACGTTATTAAAACACTACCTAGAATAATCTCAAACTAGTAAACAGTAAAAAATCACATGAACCAGCTATAAGAACCAACAGAAAACACCCTCCATAAAATGACTTATTACGTTCAAATTGAAGAGTCGAACAAACCTGTTTTCCGTCTTGAGGATAAGGGGTTGACTGCTCAATGAATGCTTTTGTTCCTGAAAGCAAGAACTTTAATATTAGCTTCATTGTTTGCAGTATGTATATGACAGATATAGATTTTACTAGTTCAACCAGTGATCATTTAACATAAAACCAGCTAACAATACTCAAGGACAGAAAACAATGTCAATACAAACCAATATACAAGGATATAACCACTATAACAATACTATGCAGGAAAGTGACAATGAAAAGCACATTCAGCCTAAGGGGAATCCATCCACAGCCTGATGTCATAAACTCAAAACCACATAATGATCACTAAAATATAATCACTATTTGAGGCAGAATGTTATGAAAAAATTAGAGGTGTCAAAGTAGATTCTCCGATTGTTTTTGATAGACCATCTAGTGGAGAGTAAGTGTGTGAAGACTGAGAAATAGCTTATATAATATAAAACTAAATGAGGGCGAAATTGCTCAAAAAAAAATCATGTGCATGCCATCTGGTGACCTACTATAAGGGAGCTCAGGGAGGGTAGTTATGTGCAAAAAGTTTAAGGTATTTTGTCAAATAAAAGTAGTTTAGGGTATCTCTCTGCATAACCCATGAAAGTTCATGGGAGTTTTGAAATTTACTCTTAAGTGATCATTCATTTAACTTTGCATAAGGAACCTTAACTTTTTAGTTTCTTTAACATTCCAACTTTCTATAGAATAGTTTAATGTATCCCAGCACTTATTATAGTTTTATAAGTAAACATTTTGATGTTCCTTTTCATCAAAATATAGTTTAAATATATAAATAGAAGTATATAAATCTTGCAGCTATACTGAGTTGGAAAAAATGATGAAAGTACAAAAATGTGAAAATGGGTTTTCTAGTTAATCGTTCGAACATTTAAAATTATATATATATATATATAAGAAAATCGAGGACATGGGAAGATTCCAGCACATGTTCAATACAAGTATTGCTTCATGACAGAAGCACCGTGCTATATAGCCATTAGCATATGGTGGAGACATGTTTGTAGAAAAGCATTACTGCACAATAACTATTACCACAGAACATTACTTAATAGTTTTTTTTTTTTTTTTGCGGAACTCATTAGTTATACAAATGAAAAAGCAGATAGAATTACTGCACAGCTTAGATGCAAAATCTAGTGTGCATTTTATGAAGACTCGTGTCATACCAAGTGGTGCACCAAAACTGCGGAGCAATTGGACAATAGATCTTACATCTAAGCGTTTCCGAACCTTGTTTCCAACCAATACCTGCAAATGGGGGCTATCAAACACCTACAAAATGCACATGAATTTGTCATGTCAGGTTTTTCCTAGAGTTGCAAAATCACACAAAAGTAACAGTTCCAAACCACCTTTAAAGACCATCGTAAAGAGTACTAGTTAGTTTGTGGATAAAAGAAGTTTTTCATGTTTGAAAGAAATGAAGGGATCATCCATCTAAATAAAACAAAAATAAGGGTAAGCCCAAATACAATAAACTTGGATATGGAAACTTGAACGATCTGGAAACATGAACCCACTAAATCTTCTCAGAAGATTTAGCATGGCAAATACATGGCAAATATATTAATGTATGATTATTCTCATATAACAAATTAACTTCCGAACGTGTTGCTTAATATTGTTGCATTGTTCTAAGAAATGTTTTGGGTTATTTAATAATAGATTCATGTGCTTTGACGAAGTAAAAAATGCCAAGCTTCTCTATAGGAATGGATAAAATAAGTTTTTCCCCTCCTATTACAATGCTTTTTGCATCTAATCTACAGAAAAGGGCACTGTAGACCATTACAAAGAAGATTCCTCAGAAGTTTTCCACTAGAGCTGGTTAAGCAAATATAAGCAAACAACCATCATAAATTTTAAAATCAATCATCATAAAAACAAATGCATTAAGTTAATAAAGATAAACATAGTACAAGGTCTCAACTTTTGGTTAGATACCAACTTTTGTTAAATGTAATTATGTAATAACTTAAGACAACAAACTATTATTGACTTCAAAATAGGCTGAATAAGTATCGTCCCTGCTTTAGCTTCCATGTGATTAATTCACAAAAATGGAGCAATAGGTCACATATGATTAAACTAATATACTTATTCAACTTCACAGTATTTCATTCTTTCTGAATTTGTACACAAGAATTTTTCATTTAGTGTTTTTACAGTGATAATTTTTGTTTTAAGAAACTAGTCATTACAACTCAGAAGTAGATGCAAGGATAATGGAGTTTTTCAGAAAACTATTGGTGAGACACATCAATATTTTATTTGAGGTCTTGCATTGAAGGATTACTTTGATTATTCTTTAGCACTTTAACCTTTAAGACACTAATGTGGGGAAATATTGTTGTGTGTTTTTTTCCTCTTTTCCTTTTTAGCATATATTTGAATTTACTGAAGAAAGAATTTTCTGGATACATGTTGAAGTCGTACTTATATGCTCTTGTTCTTTGGTACATAGACATAAATATTTAGGATTAAGATACATGTTGAAGGCCATCAAATTTTCTATCAGAAATACACAACTTTTTGCTTTAGACCCAGTCTTCTAATTTCATTTTTCTTATCATATCTAATTACTTGATTAGGCTTTTCTTATCGCAAATAATCTGATTGATTATTTATTGAGGGTTGACGAAGGTGTATGCATTTAACTAGATGCTCTGATTTAGCTAAAGCTAACAATGGAGTTTCCAGGTTTCAAAATCCCACAGCTGATGTTCATGAAATTATATTCTCTTTCTTTGCAGAAAGCTTCTTGCATCAAGATAAAACAGAGAGAAGTGAGGCAAATTTCTCAAAAGAAAATGAATAACAAGTATTTTATACTTTTATGAATGTCGAAGAGAAATTTGACAAGGTTTGGTTTCTTGATAGCGGGTGTAGTAGTCATATGACCAGGAACAAGGGACTTTTTGTTAAGCTGGATGAAAGTGTCTCAAATAAAGTCACTCTTAGAGATAGTAAGCCTAAAGGTATTTGAGGCAAAGAAACCATCGCAGTTAGCCCCAAATCTGCAAACACAAAGGACATCCATGTTCTTTATGTACCAAATTTAGCCCACAATTTGTCGTGTTGGGGAGCTTCTTCAAAGAGGTTACCTGGTGTCTCAACAATGAGAGTAAGATCATTGACAAGAAGAGTAATGTTATCATGAGTTAAGATGACTCAAAATAGAATTTTCCATCTTGTTATGCCACAATCTAGCAAGCCAGCATTGAAGAGAGAAAGCCTTGATGAATCCTACCTATGACATCTTCACTATGGGCATCTTAATCAAAAGAGGCTGCAGTTATTGAAGCAAAAGAATCTGGTACTTCAGCTTCCTCAAATTGGCAGAAAAGAAAAGAGTTTGTGAAGGGTGCATTTTTTGGAAGATGCATCACCTACCATTTCCAAAGATGGCTTGGTGAGCTAAAGCTCCTCTAGAACTTGTGCATGCTGATATTTTCGGACCTACTACCTCACTCGATAATAAAAGATACTTTGTTGATGATTATACTTGTATGATGTCGATTTATTTTATTCATAAAAAATCAGATGCTTTTAGTATTTTTATAGAGTTTAAAGCTTTTGTTGAAAGGCAAAGCGACTAGCAAATGGAGACTTTGAGAACCAATCATGGTGGAGAGTTTATATTTCAGCCCTTCATGGATTATTGCAAGAAAGAAGGTAATCAGAGGCAACTAATAGTTAGTAGAAGCCCACGACAGAACAGTGTCCCTGAAAGGAAGAATTGCACAATTATTAAGATGGCAAGAAACATGCTCAAAGGGAAAAGCCTTCCAAATAGCCTCTAAGCTTAAGTAGTACATGCAGCCATTTATATTCTGAATTGATCTCCTACAAAGTCTGTCTAAAATAAGAAACCATTTGAGGCTTGAAATAGGAGAAATCCCATTGTAAGTCATTTGAAAGTCTCTGGTTGTATTGATTATGTCTTGAATAAGTCTCCACGTAGAGATAAATTCAATGAAAAGAAAGAAAATTTTGTTCATAGGCTACAGTAACAAAGCTAAAGGCTATGGTCTGATGAATCCACAAACTAAGAAGCTAGTTGTGTCCAAAGATGTTATATTTGATGAGTTCCTTGAACGGGAATGGAATTATTCGAGTCAATGACCAATTAGATCTGAAAATTTTGCTTCTAAAACAAATCCAAGTGTTGTCCAGCCTAATCATTCTATAAATCTAAATGTTGTTCGTCAAACACTTCATTACAAAGTCAAAATTTATATTCCAATACTTCAAGTAACGAACCTGATTCATCCAGTCCACATGAGACACCTCCTTCTCCTCCACCTTTTAGGCGATCTCAGAGAATTAGTAGCCATCGGACCGCTATGGAGATTTCAAATGTCATGAGGCTTATGCAGGTATCAATGAAGCTATTGAATTTTCTTTGCTTGCTTGTGAACCACAAAATTTTGATGAGGAAGCAAAAGATAATTGTGGAAGAAGGCTATGGATGAAGAAATGGCCATGATTGAGAAGAACAGAACTTGGAAGCTCGTTAAGCTTCCATCGGACAAAGATGTTACAGGCCTGAAATGGGTTTATAAGACAAAACATAATGAAGATGGAAGTATCCAAAAGCACAAATAATGTATGGTTGCAAAGGGATATGCACAACAACCTGGAGTTCATTATAATGACACTTTTGCACAAGTGGCATGCATTGAGACTATCAGATTGGTCCTCACTATGGCAGCTCAGTTAGAGTTGCAAGACTTTGGTGTGAAATCAGCCTTCCTCAATGGAGAGCTAGAGAAAGTTTAAGTGGAGCAGCCACAAGGATATGAATTGCTAGGCAAAGAGGACAAAGTTTATCGCTTGAGAAAAGCTCTTTATGGCTTGAGACAAATGCCTAGATCCTGAAATAGCCAAATCGACTGCTATTTTTGGCAGCATAGCTTCAATAAAAGTCCAAGTAAGCCTTCACTTTATGTGAAGATGAATGGCCAGAATTTTCTTATCATATGTGTAGATGATTAAATATACATGGGGAATGATCCAAAGATGATGGCAGATCTCAGAGGATCCATGATGAAGGAGTTTGTGATCACAGATTTGGGTCTTATGAAGTACTTCCTTGGCATTCAAGTGAAGCAAACTAAAGGAGAGATTTTTACCTCTCAAGAAAAGTATATTAATGATTTATTGAAGAAATTTCAGATGATGAATTGCAAACCAATGACTACTTTGATTGCTACAAGTGAGAAGCTAAGGCAGGATGGAGCAAAGAAAGTTGATGCAAGCTTGTACAGGAGCCTAGCTGGATCGTTGTAGTACTTCACCTGTACAAGGTTTGATATTATGCAAGATTTGATCATGGTTTCAAGATTCATGAATGAGCCAAGCAACCTCCATTATGATCCTATAGATGATTCTTTGGTATCTTCATGGTACTAGAAAACTTGCAATCAAATACTTGAAAGAAAAGGAAAGCGCACTAGTTGGATACACTGACATGATTGGGCAGGTTCAACGGGTGATAGAAAAAGCACTTCAGCATGCGTGTTTTATTTGGGTTCAAATGTGATTTCATGGAGCTTAAAGAAGCAGCAAACAGTGCTTCTGTCTTCAGCCGAAGCAGAATATAATGCAGCTACAAAAACGGCTTGTGAAGCAGTTTGGTTAAGGAGGATAATTGCAAATTTGGGCCAAAAGCAAGAGAAGCCTAGGACTATTTTCTGTGACAATATGTCTGCAATTGCAATAAAAAAGAATCTAGTGTTTCATAATAATAAAAAGCATATTGAACTTCAACATCATTTCATCAGAGACTTGGTGAACAAGGGAGAAATTCAACTGGAGTTTATCAACACCAATGATCAAGCAGCAAACATGCTTACAAAAGCAGTCACATCCAAAAAAATTTGAGAAGTTTAAGGCTATATTGAAAATTACAAATTAAGAGGGGGAATTTGTAAAATAATATATAATTTTCAAATACAGTTTCTGGTGTGGTTAATACAATCAAAAGTCTAGAAAGTCAAGAGTCTAGGTTAAGAGCTAGTCTTCAAAAGAGTATTAAGTGGTATCAGTTTCCTAGAGTCTTTATTAGAAGTATTTTAATATTCCTACAAGAGTTCTAGAGAACACCATCACTTGGCATCAGACTTGCAAAGGTGGATTGTAACTTGTAAGCAAGCTATTAAGCTCAAAATCAAAGAAAAGAAAAATAGTATTGCAAGAGCAGCAGATCTGCAGATTTCAGCACTATACTTTGTTGTTTTCTACTACTTATTTTTTATCCTACCCCCACTATACGGCCGTCTCCCTCCAACAGAATGCTCAGATGATACATCAGAACCAAATTCAAGGGATTAGAGTATCTTAGAGAAGAGGGGAATCTTCATCATTAGAAAAATGAGAAGCATCCTCGTTTTACTTTATGAGCCTTACATAAAAGCCTTTAGTTGCCCACATTCCCATTAATCAACGACCGTAAAAGCGATGGTTACTAGTTCCTCTGAAATGAGGTCTCAATTTAAATTTACCCATTTATCTTTCATACAAGAATTTGCAACCATTGTTCCAAGGATTTCTCACCAAAAGAAAATTCCAACCCAAAATGAAGCCAAAGCATAACATCACCAACTACCCAAACAAGAATTTAAGACACTGTTACGTCATAAAAATTCCATATTTTCCAACTCTAGCCATGAATTATAATTCTATGTTTCTATGCTTTCACATGTATCAAAAACTTAACTAGCATGTAACTTAATGCCTAGATTTCAAATTCAACATAATTTTTTTTCTTTTTGAGTAAATTGCACATAACCCCTTTCATCTATACAGTGAATTGACTAGACCTCTCAACTCATTTATAGCACCCAGCCCCCTCGAATCCATGACAAAGCGGGGTGTTACTTGCAATATAGCTTCCTAAAAATTGCTAAACCCCCCTCAGCTAATTTATTAGCACTAAGCCTCTCTCAATTCATTAGAAAGAGGCATGTTACTTGCAATTTATCTTTCTGAAAACTGCATTTCCAAGGTGCTAAGTGCTAGTAAATGACTTG